GTATCTCAAATTAAATAATTTTATAAGTATTATATAATTATAAAATATTATTATAAAACTATAGTATCATAAGATTGACATGTTATGTATCTTTTTTTGCTGCACTAATAGATCTTTAGCACCCAATGTACCACAAACTAAGCATTAGATAAAGAGAAAAGTCGAAGGAAAGACTGTATGATCCAAGATCTAGGGTAAAGTACATGAAAGGAATAAGACTTGATTTATAAAACCTAGAATCTCATACGAACTCATGATCAAAATTTTGCAAGTGATAATTATTGGAGACATATTAGGTAATATTTCTTGAAAAATATGTTCAAATTAAATGAGAAAAATGAATTATAGGGAGATCATTTGTGAAAATATCACTCGAGTTTCTTACTTAAGTATCCATCCCTAAAGTGTAAATGTACCTATTTTACAACGGTATATGGTTGAGTTCTAAAACTCTTAATAAACATGTAGCCATTATAATTTATTTTTAATGGCTAGAGATGCTTGTGGTTATCTTGATCAATAGGACATGTGGTAATTTAATAGTTTAATGCTTAATGTTGCTAGCAATTGATATGTGATTAATGCAATGTTTGTATATAACTAATTTGTGATTATTATTTTTGAATGATAAAAATAGTGAATAAATATGTGCATGAAAAAATGGGTTTATAAAAATTTGAGAACCTAACTGAAAAAAACTAAAGAAGAGAGTTACCCATTTATGAAAATGAAAGTGATGCATTTGAATGACCTAGTGAAGATTTTGTGGGTGGTGTTGTAGAGAAAAGAGATTAAATTTTTTGCACCCACTGCACCACAAACTAAGCCTTTAGTAAAGAGAAAAGGTTGAAAACAAGACTACGTGCATAATCTAGGGTCTAGTATATATGGAGGGGATAAGACTTGGCCTAAAAAACTTTAAAATCTCCTATGAGGATAGCCAACTCATAATTATAATTTTGCAGGCAATAATTCTTAGAGACTAATATCAAGTAATATTTCTTGAAAAACGGGTTCGCATGAGAAAAATGAATCATAAAGAAATCATTTATGAAGGTACATCACTCAAGTTTCTTGCTTACACATCCATCCATAAAGTGTGAACGTAAGTATTCTACAACATTACATGGTTGAGATCTAAAACCCTTAGTAAATTTGTAGCTTGTTTTGAGTGGTGTGTTTGAGTTGTAGGGGCACTATTGATGGATTTTTATTTACATGGGTATCGTAGTGAAGTTGTTTATGTAAAAATTGGATGTGCAATTTTCTAATTTAACCATGAAAACTAACATCATGCATAATATCATATTACACCAGTTATATGAAATACTCAACTCTTGGATCATTATGTATGATGGAATTCCTATATCCTCTTATATGTTATAGTTCAAGATTTAGTACAGTATTGAATTTAGAATATGAATTGTAAGTCACTAAGTTTCAAGACTTAGTTATTTTTATTATGCATAATAATGCATCGTTGCTCAAAATATATTCTCATCATCTATATTATTACTTATCTCCAAACTGATGTAGTATCCCATCCAATTGATGACATAAACCTTATAGAATCAAGCCACCTCGCCTTGTTATTAACACACCCCATGAGAGTGGGATTTTATATATTGCAGTTAACTGTAACTTTGAAGCAAAGCGAAAGAAAAGATTTTCAGTTTTACAATGAAAAATTTTTTGTCACAATGATAATATATAAAAGGTAAAATGGCATACACACTCCTTTGTAGTTTGAGATAGCTACATCTGCCCCCCCAAAGATAAGATAAACGCATTTTGCACCATAAGATAAAATTAAAATTGGAAACTAAAATCTTGTCTCATTAGTATTGAGAGTATTAAGGTGAGAAAATGAATAAATAAAAATGTTAATTTTACACCTTTTTAAGTTAAAGATATTAATTTTATTATTTCTAAATAAAAATATCATATTTAACTTTTCAATTTAAGCGTATTAATTATCTATTATTTTATTTAAGAATTAATTAAATGATTTTATTGACATAGCAAATGCATTTTTTCAAAAAAAATTAACATTATGAAATAG